ATAGTTTCAAAAGGTCTGATGTCTACGCTCACGTAGTTGGAATACGAACCAGACCGAAGGAATTATTTTCTGTCAAACCATCCCAACTCCGTTACTTCTACTTCAGTTCCCTTCCTACTGTAATCATTTAAGCTCTTTTCATCCCTGTGACTCACTACAGGTTGGCCTCAGCTATCCGAATTCTACACATCTTCTCACCCCTCTCGCCTTACTTCGGTGTAAGTAAATCACTGCAACGTTTCATTGTCCTGTCTCTTACTCATGTATTTGTTCCCCTAGGTTCTCCTAGAACAACGGCCTGGTAACTGGATACCAGAGGAACCCAACTGCGTCGCAGTCCCAGGCAAACTAACCGACACCCAACCACCTGTTGAGTATGTCAGAGCTACAGCAGACGAGTGGTTAGATCTACTGCATCGGAACTCACCAGAGACCCGAAGCCGCTCCTCAAGGCCAAGAAGCAGGCACGAAAAAAATCGACCGGTTAGCACAAGCTGGTTAAACAGATGTTTGATATTTCCTCAACCAACTCGTGATAATCGGAGCGGTATGGGTAGCAAAGTCAGACACTCCCTGAATTTCTTTAACATTTATATGCTGAAGACGTGAGGCCTGCGCGATTGCGGAGGCACCAACTCCCATACCTGGAACACTGCACACTACAGGCCACTACCGAGTGGCACTCCTTCCTACCACAAGCATTTTTCCAACGCTTGGTTGACCACCTCGTAGAGACTGGAGACAAACTTGATAAAGCAGGTAACACGTGAGTTAGAGATCTCAGGCTCGCTTATATTCTCCCTAAAGGTTCAATTTAAAATAGGTGTTGAACTTTTCAGTCCTCTACGACCACACATATACCTCCCAAGAGGAACAAATTGTCGTTCTGTCGGAGTGTGCCCATCAGGAACATTTCTTTGATCAGTAGTGGTTATACTAAATGTGGCAGCCTTTGAAATGCAATGTGACTTCAGACTTCCTTCCTCGATCGCAGCAATTAATTACTGCATATGGTTGCACAAGTTTCAGCAAAGAGGGTGAGGTACATCGTGAGCACTCGAGGTCTTCTAGGGAGTACCGTGCCAGATCTACGACAACATGTCGGATTTGTGGAAAGTACTATCTCACACGAATTCGATATAATGGGTAAATATAGCATGGTCACACGATGTTTACACATTTCATAGATATTTTCAGACTGTTCAAGGAAATGACATAACGCAAACCTTCAAAGGGGGTCAACGAAGCAATCCAAAGAAATACAGGCTGGTGACACTTCTATCCATTCCTTCCAAAGTAATGGAATCGTTGATATACGATGTTCTGAGGGATTACCTCACAAGGACAAATTTCTTCGCATCCCAACAACATGGATTTCGAAAGGGATACTCCTGCATTACCAATTTGTTCACTGCAGTAGAGAGATGGACTAGCACTGTTGACCGTCGAGAACATTGACGTTATCTACCTAGACTTAGCTAAGGCGTCTGATCGTGTCAGTCACGACTGTCTTATCGTCAAACTAAAATTAATTGGGATTCGATCCCCGCTCATTGACTGGTTGTCTTTATATCAGCGGGGCTATTCATTTGGAGTTCGGGTGAGTTTCTCTGTGTCTAAAGAAACAGAATGTCCTGGTGGTGTTACTCAAGGTTCAGCACTAGGACCCCTCCTTTTTCTAATATACATGAGCGACTTGCCTCAACAGGTCTCTTCCGAAATCCTTCTTTTTGCCGATGAAGGGAGGGAAATCAAAAGTGAAGAAGACAGTGTTTCTCCGCAGGAAAACGTGACTCAACTTCACAGTTGGGCAGTCAACAGTGGGCTTGCATTTAACCCTGAGAAATGCAAGGTAATGCACGAAAAACGTGATGCATCTCGTGTATGCAGCCTCAGCGGCATGTAACTTGAGGCGTCACTGACAAAAAAGGATTTGGGCGTGTTGGTCCCCCAGGACTTAAAATCTTATGCCAAGTGTGACAGAAACGCACTTCATGGAAACTTGGAGTTAGTAACTCTTGGACGAATTTTCGAGCATTTCGATCGTAGATGTTTCCACCAAATTTTCAACAGCTTCATACGGCCTCACCTGGATTTCGGAACCATCGTCTTCCCCCCTTATCTCCAGAAGGACAAACCAAGCTTAGAATGCATCCAGAGGCGTTTGACAAAATCTGCTCAAGGGCTTAGGTCCAAAACATACGAAGAACGGTTGGTTGCTCTGGATCTGTATCCTCTGGAATACAGGAGGCTAAGAGGTGACTTGATAATGACTTACAACATTCTGAGCACACCTGGCCATCCACTCCGTCACTTATTAAACCTTAGCTGCAGCTCTAATCTTAGAGGACGTGCACAGAAACTAAGTCTGGAACATAGCAGGCTGGATGTCAGGCACAACTTCTATTCCCTAAGAGTTGTTAAACCCTGGAACGCTCTTCCTGAAGATGCGATCCAGGCTACTTCGTCTGAATCTTTTAAACGCCGACTGGATACCCACTTGATGTGTGTATGGGATCTGTCCAGAAAGAAGTGAATTTTCATTTTAATCGCCACTTCTTCACCTTTCATTACTTGTACAACAGGTTAACAACCAAAAGGAGTAGTGATCTATGGATTGTAGACGCGGAAGCCAGTTAAGTGAAAGCTTCTTCCATTCCGTCAACAACTATTTGAACCATTTGAGGGTGATGCTTCTAATGAACGATAATTTGTCTCCACCAATAGCAGACTAGCCATGTGACCTAGAAGTGCGTCAGTTACCAACGTATGTTGTATGGCCTCTTTTCGTTGCCTACAAGTATAGTCATGGTTAACTAAAAGGTATAACACCTATTTTGAATAGAATCTTCATGAAAAACTTGTATGAGCCGAAGCCCAACAGTAATCTGCTCATGAGGATTACTGTTCAAGTTTGTTGTTTGAGGATGGAAGGTTGTGAGACTATATTATAAAACATAATAAAAGGACTGTAGTCCTTTTCCAGTAGATGTCTATGCTTGTCAAGTCCTCTTTGTAACAAGTCAATCGATAATATTGACAAGGCTTCCCCTAGGAGTCGGTTCTAGGAGTTGACTAGTACTCGCGTGAGAACTAGTATACAAGAGTACATACTCTACGGAGAATACTTTCTTCCTTTTCATGTGTATTCTCCCGCTATTTTCTCTGAGGTATCCTGACCTACTGGGCAGGAAAAGAAGATGGATCATGTCCAGGGTCATTTCCTCGAATCCTATGTAGCACGCTCTAGAACTCAAAGGTTTTTGTTAGCACCCCCACTTTTGGTGAACTTACCAGACGGTCCTCTTCGTGATATAAGAAAGTAGATAAACACATTCACTTCTCGACTAAATCCGCGTCTCGTATCTCTCGAAGGTGTAGTACATCTGAAAGCTGGGTAAATTAAGGTACAATTTCATGTCAATATTCCCATTCTGAGAGACGGTCTTGTCCCCAATATTACGGCATGAGATATACGTCTGTTTATCAAGAATTTTCCACTTAAAAATCATCGGTCAATCTCCAAATATTGCACCACTTTAAAAAGACACTTAGTTGACTAAGTGGAATCAAATGTCGCAAGCGAATATGCGATTGACAGGCTAACAGCTTCCGGAAAGTGACACGCAGACTGTCGCACAAGATGAATGAAACAAGCGGGAAATTGTATGAGAATCCTTCCCATAAACAGGTTAGCGGCAAGATGTAATGACTTTTTTGTTTGTCAGTATGACAGATAATGTATTCGTAAACAAGCAGTGCATCGTGTTCATGGGTGTTTATCGCTATGAATAGGCCATTCGAATGGACACTTGGTGACAACCGTTATTCTCGAGACTGACTTGTTACTCAGGTGTTCCTTAGCTGTTTTTTAACCACCAAATACACCACAGTGATGCTGAGTCGACCGGATGCAAAACAACGTAAAGTGTCACTTAATCAAAGGAAAAAAATGAGTAGAATGTTGCATATGACGATATCTAGGTTAAACTGCAAAGGAATCGGAAGTCAAAGTAGAAGATATAATCCAGTAAATGGAGGAAAAAACTGACACCTATTACAGTCAAATTATTTGGTTTATGTACTTTCTTAACTTGGGTCATTATGGAACTATTACGTTCAAATTTATTCAGATCCAATCATAGCGTATTAGCTGCATTTGTCGATATCTATCTTATTCCTCTTAAATATACTAGTAACTATATTTTAAAAGTGTTAGTTATGCTGCAGTAGAACCAAATTTTGATGGTTTTGGAAACAAGGTTCACCCATAAGTCTTTAAAAACAGCAACACGAAATATGTCTGAATGTAGGAAATCGATAGTTCCTGAACTTTCACATCTGCATAGAGTTTGGTCTTACGTTCTTCACAATTTTCTTACATCTATTCGCTTTTATATTTATAAACAGACTTTAAGTCCAGATACATCTTTAGCTATTTTTAACGTTGCTGCATGGTTATACATATGTTACCAGTGCTGTTGATTATAAAAAATATTAAGAGCAGCAAGGCAGACGGATAGATACTAATTGAAGAGGACTAAAAACAACGATTGAGTTGTTGCGACGTGCTGTTGTTAAATTTTCGTGTGGCCTGTAGGCAAGTTATTACAACGGGGCGTGCAGAAGTGTAGGTTTTGTGATGACCACAAGGATCGAGCGGAGAAAAACATGAACTGATGACACAGCAGGCTCAGATATTCAGATATAGAAATAAAATCAACAAAAATTTTGAGAAACACTTATATTGTTATTGTTTTGACATCCCTTCAATTTAAACTTCTGAACGTTTCCTGGTTTTCTAGACATACTAATCAATGATATGAACGATTATTTATTTCATGATGTACAGATTATCATTTTATTTATCATTATTGGTAGTTTCTTATGTTTCCCACCTTATATCTTTGGTAGGAATATTAGGATGCAGTAATCGTTTAGCGAACACTTGAAAAATAATCGTCACCGCAGATTTTCGTTTCAGCAATTCTGTGTGCGTAATGAATTTTCCATGTAAACCGCTGGCGTGTAAAATCCAAGCTTGCTTAATCAGTAAATTGTAGTTTTTTTATAGTCAATTAATACATGCATATAATTAATTGATTTTAAACAGAGCATAATTACGATGTTAATCAATGTACGAAAGAGATTACTTCACTCATTGAGTGTTGTAAAAAATTCCAGCATATCAAACAACCATGCTGTGAAGGTTGGGATAATTACGAACATCAACATGATGACAAAAGCGTTTCATGAGCAAATAATAGTGTGATATGATTTTGTTTGCTAATATTATTTCTATTTAATTTATAGTTATCTTGGAAAATATAATCTTAGCTGAATGCATTGTCTTCTGTAATGATTGTAACTGTAGCAGTGTTGACAGTTTAAGAATTGATCACTTACACGCTTAACATGCTTCCTATGGTTTACGAGCATATATTTAATCATTTGAACATGCTGAGTATAGTTGGTAAAGTGTATAATGCTGCTCTTATTACTTCAAAGCGAACTAGACACACCTCGTTTCCAAGGTTTATTTCGGTAAGATTAAAACCTAAAATAAGCTTTCCTGACCTATGATCAAACATGCAAATCATCACTTAAAATCTAATACACAAAACATGAGGCGTTTATGAAGTACCTTTTTAGGTTCAGTTTCGTACTAAAATTTTAGAAACCCACTAGTCCAAGCTAAAAGATATATCAAGTCATCTAAGTTCCCATATTGTTCCGGTTATTTCATCTCAAAAATACGCGGCTAATACTAGATTTGAGCGGTATGTATTTTGGGAAATTGAAAGCATCTATAAATCGTAAAATTTTACCCATCGTCTTATGTGTCCAGTTAGCATCAATAACCTTCACACGAAAGATGTGATTCACAGCTTAGTATACCTAAACGTGCCCGAGGACACTGAACTATTAACACACAATTAGATTGGTATCACCACAGCTGCCTAGAACCTCCACTCCTATTTCTATTTACTAAGTAATAAGGTAGCTGTGTGCAGCAATTCTGCGTCTGTTTCGTGGAATAAAGTTGTAATTTTAAGATTTCTCACTATATTTAACCCAAAAACTGATTACACTGAATGTAGATCAGAATCGAGTAAATGATAGTCGTTTTGCAGTTTCCGTCTTCTTATGTAGTGGGATCAATACAAGAGGGCTTTTAAAATGGGTCCCAGTGTCACTTTCTGTTAATATTGTCTTTCTTTTCATCCTCATATCGTTCTATGTTGTTTTGTCTCGTTTTCCTTTTAGTTTGTCTTAAATATGCAAAATTTTCTATTAATAAATAAACAATGTGTTTAAGTGGCCATCATCTAGGCAAAGCTTCGTACTATGAATTCAAATTACGAGAGAGGCTCGATTTTAGAAATTTCCCCCCAAAATGTGATCTAAACAGCAAATAAAGTAACCATGCAACTAATGATGTATAGCGTTTGGTCGTGCAAGATGTTCAAATGGATGGGAAATAGTTGTAGTTCACGATGGGCATTTTGTGGTAGAAGTATCCTTACGGTGTTAAGGTAGCATGAAGGGTAGTGACTAAAATATCACTGGAATCTTTTCTGTGAAGAATGCTAAGTCTTGGAACGCTTCTAACAGGACATTACCGGTGCTTTCTGAAAGCTTATATGGCTTCTTGGATCTGAAACATTTGTTTTTAGACGTGTGATGACTAAGAGGTCCTCATGTATCTTTTGTTGTGTGCGAAACACTACCATTCTATCTTTGAATTCATCTCGTACATTTTCGAAATCACAATTTCCAATGTATTATTACCTGTTAGTAGTCAAAACAATGAATTCATTATATCAAACTGATCATACCTGCAGACTGGTTGGTTGTCATGTAACCTATATTGTATGAAAACATACTATATGTACGGTCTCCTCAAAATCATTTATTTAACGCTTATGGAACTTCACAATGATGATGGGTGAAAATAACGTAGGAACCTGAGCCTCAAGGTAGTAAAGCAAACTGAGTTATTTACAACTCGAATTAGTTGTACGTTTCAGTTATGTGTAATATATGCTTTTGTATTGAGATTTTTGACGTTTCTTTAAATGTTTTAATTCGGCTTACAGTGTAAGTGCTGAAGTTATCACACTAAATTCTAGTTTCAGTTACAGAAGAGTGCAAACACTGGAAGAGTAATTTATGAAAACTGTTGCAATACTGTTTGCCATTTCTTTCATTTCTACGTAAGAAAAGTTATATATTTCAACCCATTAAGCGTATATTCACCAGACTACTACTTGATCTCCAAGGCTAAAGTAGATGGAGCAAGGTTGATACCCGGATTCACTTGTTTGCAAGGAATGTCTGAGCGAGTATGGTACTACTTAGATGTTGAAACGCAATGCCATGTTATGTCACAAAATAAAACCTTTGAACCTGACTTTTTAAAGATTTTGTTAAGATTTGCAGATTCAGTTAAACAGGTACACGTAATCTGGATACTGAATGAATAAATATGATACTCAACAACTCACGCGGCTAGTATAGTGAGAAAGGCAGGGATGGACTGAAGTGTCTAATTCAATCTCATTAACTTGTTTTCAGTGAAGACGACCTTCAGGCTGACAGACAAATTAACTCATTAAAGGTTGAAGAACAGCCAAGAGGGAAACAACGTTTTTAAAAGCGATAAAAAATGAATGACACACGAGGCGAAAAAAATAAATCTAAATTTTTATCAGTTAAATTTATGGGTTTCAGAATTAAATCACTTAGTTTATGCGATGAAATGTCTCCACCACTTTTAAGAAGGTTCGATGTCCAACTTAGAATCACCATGTGACCATATTCTAGGCAAAAGCTCCTTTATTTCTTGAGGGACTTTTTCTGAAATCGGTTCATCACTGGGTGTACTGGTATGTGCCCAGTAAAATTTCCAGTGCAAGCCTGTTTAAAGATGGTTCTTGTTCAGACACTATCCTTGGATTTGGTTGATTTTTGTCACACCCATCTGTTGTTTTTAATGACTTCGTCGTATATAACACTTCCAAGCCTACCGTGGGTCGTACCTGGGTCGGTATGCTTGAGCTAATGCTGGTGTTCCTGCTTCGAACGTCTTTTCTGTATTTACTGGTTGTCTTATGGCAGGCGTTTTTGGAGTCGTTATGTGTTCTCAATTTACCTCCTGTAATTGCTTTAGCAGGGTCTTCCTTCCAGGTAACGATTCATTCGGTGTTGTTCTATACACAAACAGAAACTGTCGGATGTTGTCCATCAGAGTGTTCCCTCTCCTTCTTCCTTGTGTAAAGCTCTCAAATGTATCCACGATGCTTTTGGCTTGTTCATTAGATTATAGATGGTAGCGTGGCTTGAGAACGTGGTCGATTTCCTCAGTGAGACATTATTCGTGGAATTGTTAGGAAGCAAATTGTAGTCCCTTTCCAGAGGATGGTTTCTGGTAACCCATGGTAGGAGAAAGTCGCTGAAAGGGAGTGAAGTGCTTTTGCATTAGTTAACGGGTCTGCCGACATGATCTCAGATCAATTCATGTAAGCATCCACCAAAACCAAATAAAATTTTCTGTTTAGTGGTCGAGCAAAATCTACGTGCACATGTAACTATAATCAATTTGGTTGCAGCTAGGGTAGGGCATGAAATTCGTAATTGGTGTTCTGCAGCTTTCTGGCACCATGTACAATGTCTGACGTATTTGACAATGTCGTCTATGTGAGGCCGGTAGGCATAGGTTCGTGCAGTTGCCTTCATGCGTTTCATTCCTAGGTGGCCCATCTGGAATTTGCGTAGAGCTCGTCGACGGAGTGTTTGTGGAGTTACAGCGCGATGTTGAAACAGAATGTAGTCATTTACTACATGCAAAGACTGTCTTTGTTGGAAATCCTGTTGTAGGTCACCGAATGTAGAATCAGTCTGATGGCACGTTAGTGTGCGGTCTCTGTTGTTATTTGCTTGAACATCTGAAGCTACTGAAAGGGCTCACAAGGCTTCAGTAAGACAGTGGGTTGCATCGTCTTCATTGGACGCTGTCTCAATAGTGGCATCTTTGTTGAATGTTGGTTAGCCACTTACCTGCCGTAAGGGTGCATGCGCCTAGTCGAGTTCGTTAGTGTGATAGAACTGAGTTTCAAAATCATATCCCAGGAGTATTAGCAGCCATCGTTGTAGTTAGTTTGCTGAGTGTGTAGGAATGCCAAACTTTGGCACGTTGACAGGGAGTTTGTGGTCAGTGCGATCCGTCAATAGTGTAAATCATTTACCGTAGATTAACTTGTAGAAGCAGCATGTAGCAAAAACAAGAGCTAGTGTCCCCTTCTCTATTTGTCTATATTTTTATTCTGTAATCGCAAGTGTCCGAGATACATACATGGTTACTTTTTATGTAACATCAGGGATGTAGTATGACTGGACTGACTGTGTAAGCAGAAGCATCAAAGATAGATAGGTTGAGATCATAATGAGTCAGCAGGAGGTGCTACATTAGCGTAGCCTTTAATTTTTGAAAGGCGGCTGTGTATTCCTTTGTCTAATTCCAGTAAACATCTTTGCCAAGCAACTGATTTATTGGTGATCTGACTGTGTGCATGGATGTCAGGAACTGAAAAGCTACAAGAATGATCTAAGCAAGTGTATATTCTTTGATCCAGGTGTCCGGTGTATGACAAGGATTTTTCCAGAGTCTGAATGATGACTAAAGGCATGGAAGATAAATTAAAGGTTCTTTGCCGAACGTAAAAGTAACTAACATTTTTCAGTGAGTAATCGGAACCCACTTCTTTCAATTCGGTGTAGCGCTTGTTAGATACGTTTACGTAGTCCATTTGGTGAGGCTCCGGCAGTAAGTATATCATCCACGTATGCTACCACTTTTCATATTCCTGAAAGGATGGTATGGATAGTCTGCTGTAAGATCGCCTGCACCGTTTTAATACCAAATGTTAGTCTGGTATACTGGAACAGATTATAGATGAATGTCACGTCTCATTCTTGTCCAACTTCTATTTGTATGCAAGTGTCTCCCAGATCAATTTTTGTCAAACAAGTTATACAGTTCAGGGTAGTGAAAATACCACTTGACGCTGGCAGCGTATAGTGATGCGGTCCTAAAGCTTCATTAAGTCCATTGGAGAAATCAGCACAGTTTCGAATAGAGCCACTCTGCTTCTTTAAGACTACTATCAGGGCTAATCATGAGATATAAGATACAGGTATCAACACACTTTGCTGTTCAAGACGGGAGTTTTCAGCTTTTATTTGAGATAGGGAAG